ACCGTGACGCCTGCGAGTCGGAGATGATGTACTGACCGTGACGCCTGCGAGTCGGAGATGTTGTACTGACCGTAGCGCCTGCGAGTCGGAGATGATGTACTGACCGTGACGCCTGCGAGTCGGAGATGATGTACTGACCGTGACGCCTGCGAGTCGGAGATGTTGTACTGACCGTGACGCCTGCGAGTCGGAGATGTTGTACTGACCGCAGCGCCTGCGAGTCGGAGATGATGTACTGACCGCAGCGCCTGCGAGTCGGAGATGTTGTAATGACCGTGACGCCTGCGAGTCGGAGATGATGTACTGACCGTGACGCCTGCGAGTCGGAGATGATGTACTGACCGTAGCGCCTGCGAGTCGGAGATGATGTACTGACCGTGACGCCTGCGAGTCGGAGATGTTGTACTGACCGTGACGCCTGCGAGTCGGAGATGTTGTACTGACCGTGACGCCTGCGAGTCGGAGATGTTGTACTGACCGTGACGCCTGCGAGTCGGAGATGATGTACTGACCGTGACGCCTGCGAGTCGGAGATGATGTACTGACCGTGACGCCTGCGAGTCGGAGATGATGTACTGACCGTGACGCCTGCGAGTCGGAGATGATGTACTGACCGTAGCGCCTGCGATTCGGAGATGATGTACTGACCGTGACGCCTGCGAGTCGGAGATATGTACTGACCGTGGCGCCTGCGAGTCGAAGATGATGTACTGACCGTAGCGCCTGCGAGTCAGAGATGTTGTACTGACCGTAGCGCCTGCGAGTCGGAGATGATGTACTGACCGTGACGCCTGCGAGTCGGAGATGTTGTACTGACCGTGACGCCTGCGAGTCGGAGATGATGTACTGACCGTGACGCCTGCGAGTCGGAGATGTTGTACTGACCGTAGCGCCTGCGAGTCGGAGATGATGTACTGACCGTGACGCCTGCGAGTCGGAGATGATGTACTGACCGTGACGCCTGCGAGTCGGAGATGTTGTACTGACCGTGACGCCTGCGAGTCGGAGATGATGTACTGACCGTGACGCCTGCGAGTCGAAGATGTTGTACTGACCGTGACGCCTGCGAGTCGGAGATGATGTACTGACCGTGACGCCTGCGAGTCGGAGATGATGTACTGACCGTGACGCCTGCGAGTCGGAGATGTTGTACTGACCGTAGCGCCTGCGAGTCGGAGATGTTGTACTGACCGTAGCGCCTGCGAGTCGGAGATGATGTACTGACCGTGACGCCTGCGAGTCGGAGATGATGTACTGACCGTGACGCCTGCGAGTCGGAGATGTTGTACTGACCGTAGCGCCTGCGAGTCGGAGATGATGTACTGACCGTGACGCCTGCGAGTCGGAGATGATGTACTGACCGTGACGCCTGCGAGTCGGAGATGTTGTACTGACCGTAGCGCCTGCGAGTCGGAGATGATGTACTGACCGTGACGCCTGCGAGTCGGAGATGTTGTACTGACCGTGACGCCTGCGAGTCGGAGATGTTGTACTGACCGTGACGCCTGCGAGTCGGAGATGATGTACTGACCGTAGCGCCTGCGAGTCGGAGATGTTGTACTGACCGTAGCGCCTGCGAGTCGGAGATGTTGTACTGACCGTAGTGCCTGCGAGTCGGAGATGATGTACTGACCGTGACGCCTGCGAGTCGGAGATGATGTACTGACCCTGACGCCTGCGAGTCGGAGATGTTGTACTGACCGTGACGCCTGCGAGTCGGAGATGATGTACTGACCCTGACGCCTGCGAGTCGGAGATGTTGTACTGACCGTGACGCCTGCGAGTCGGAGATGATGTACTGACCGTAGCGCCTGCGAGTCGGAGATGATGTACTGACCGTGACGCCTGCGAGTCGGAGATGTTGTACTGACCGTGACGCCTGCGAGTCGGAGATGATGTACTGACCGTGACGCCTGCGAGTCGGAGATGATGTACTGACCGTAGCGCCTGCGAGTCGGAGATGTTGTACTGACCGTGACGCCTGCGAGTCGGAGATGATGTACTGACCGTAGCGCCTGTGAGTCGGAGATGATGTACTGACCGTGACGCCTGCGAGTCGGAGATGTTGTACTGACCGTGACGCCTGCGAGTCGGAGATGTTGTACTGACCGTGACGTCTGCGAGTCGGAGATGATGTACTGACCGTGACGCCTGCGAGTCGGAGATGATGTACTGACCGTGACGCCTGCGAGTCGGAGATAATGTACTGACCGTGACGCCTGCGAGTCGGAGATAATGTACTGACCGTGACGCCTGCGAGTCGGAGATGATGTACTGACCGTGACGCCTGCGAGTCGGAGATGATGTACTGACCGTGACGCCTGCGAGTCGGAGATGATGTACTGACCGTGACGCCTGCGAGTCGGAGATGTTGTACTGTTTAAATATTTGCAAAATAATAAATAAAAATTACTGTGGTGTGTGTCGGGGCCTGATTACACCATGATTTATTTCAAAAACTGGCTTATTGATATTAATAAACACCTGGTATATTGATGACTTGATTAGGCTGGTGTGTTTGTTTGTGTGTGTGTGAGAGAGAGAGAGTGAGAGTGTGTGTGTGTGTTATAAGACCAGGTCAAATACTGAGCATCACAGATCTCAGCGATCATGTTTCTATGGAAATAGCCTTTGGAAGCAGTTATAGTGACATCACAGAAATCTACGAACAATAAAAAACTACCAGATGAACAAATGTGTAAAACACAGAATATTCACATCTGGAGCACAATACTCACGATCAATAGCAGCTGTGTGTGGGCTGCAGGTTTCCACGGCAACACACTCACCAATCAAAGGCGAGAGAGCGACGCCCACCGCGACACACATGAACATCTGAAATAACTTCATAAACTCTCACGCATGGAAAAAACACACAACACAAATATTTCCTTCATAAACTATATTTTCACAATTATTTATTTTACAATTTTGATCAACAAAAGTGTTTTTATTTTTCCAGAAAGAGGGAAAAAGGCTCAAGTTTCCAGTAAGATGTGTGTTTTAGACACTCGCCCACGTTAAACGCTCTATAATACATCCACCACGACATTCAAACAAGCATCAAAAGAAAAACAAGTGAGAAGAGCTGAGGAGAGTGTTTGGAAGTTCATCCGCTCCATCAAAGACTCAGGAAAGGCAGAGATTATTCTAAAAAAAAGCACACGTATAAATTATCCCGTCACCCAAACGACAGACACACACACACACACACACACACACAAGCACGTCACAAACACTGCTGAGCACAACACACATCTGCACCATACAAGCAAACTGCCTTCATCAAGCAGAGATTTGGCTCATATTTTCATAGATCAGAAAAATATATTTTCTTAATGCAACTCCATCTTGAAAATGTTTTTAAAAACACACAGAACCCAGCAGAATCAGAAGGGAAGTGTGTCCTGAGGCGGGTATTGCATGAGGAGCTGATGAACAGGACGGTTCTCACTGAGTCGGTGGAGACCCGGTGGAGACCCGGAGAGCGCCACCTTCAGGCACTTAGTGTTTCTGCAGTTCACGTCTGTATGTGCATATCAAGCGATTCCAAACAACCCTGAGATCTGCAGCGGTAAAACACCCTTCAGTCTGTGTGTATGTGTGTGTGAGTCTGAGTGTGTGTGTGTGAGTGTGAGAGAGTATGATTGTGTGTGTTTGTGTGTCTCCCCTCACTGACCATCAGTAGCCCTTAACCAGCAGTCATACAAGATCACAAACACGGCACAAGCCCAGTGAGAGTGTGCGTGTATGAGAGTGTGTGTGTGGGTGTGCGTGTATGAGAGTGTGCGTGTATGAGAGTGTGTGTGTGTGTGGGTGTGCGTGTATGAGAGTGTGTGTGTGGGTGTGCGTGTATGAGAGTGTGCGTGTATGAGAGTGTGTGTGTGGGTGTGCGTGTATGAGAGTGTGTGTGTGGGTGTGCGTGTATGAGAGTGTGTGTGTGGGTGTGCGTGTATGAGAGTGTGTGTGTATGAGAGTGTGCGTGTATGAGAGTGTGTGTGTGGGTGTGCGTGTATGAGAGTGTGTGTGTGGGTGTGCGTGTATGAGAGTGTGTGTGTGGGTGTGCGTGTATGAGAGTGTGTGTGTGGGTGTGCGTGTATGAGAGTGTGTGTGTGGGTGTGCGTGTATGAGAGTGTGTGTGTGGGTGTGCGTGTATGAGAGTGTGTGTGTGGGTGTGCGTGTATGAGAGTGTGTGTGTGGGTGTGCGTGTATGAGAGTGTGTGTGTGGGTGTGCGTGTATGAGAGTGTGTGTGTGGGTGTGCGTGTATGAGAGTGTGCGTGTATGAGAGTGTGTGTGTGGGTGTGCGTGTATGAGAGTGTGTGTGTGGGTGTGCGTGTATGAGAGTGTGTGTGTGGGTGTGCGTGTATGAGAGTGTGTGTGTGGGTGTGCGTGTATGAGAGTGTGTGTGTGGGTGTGCGTGTGTGTGGGTGTGCGTGTATGAGAGTGTGTGTGTATGAGAGTGTGCGTGTATGAGAGTGTGCGTGTATGAGAGTGTGCGTGTATGAGAGTGTGTGTATGAGAGTGTGTGTGTGGGTGTGCGTGTATGAGAGTGTGCGTGTATGAGAGTGTGTGTGTATGAGAGTGTGCGTGTATGAGAGTGTGTGTGTGGGTGTGCGTGTATGAGAGTGTGCGTGTATGAGAGTGTGTGTGTATGAGAGTGTGTGTGTATGAGAGTGTGTGTGTATGAGAGTGTGTCTGTATGAGAGTGTGTGTGTATGAGAGTGTGTGTGTATGAGAGTGTGTGTGTATGAGAGTGTGCGTGTATGAGAGTGTGTGTGTATGAGAGTGTGTGTGTATGAGAGTGTGTGTGTATGAGAGTGTGTCTGTATGAGAGTGTGTCTGTATGAGAGTGTGTCTGTATGAGAGTGTGTCTGTATGAGAGTGTGCGTGTATGAGAGTGTGCGTGTATGAGAGTGTGCGTGTATGAGAGTGTGCGTGTATGAGAGTGTGTGTGTATGAGAGTGTGTCTGTATGAGAGTGTGTCTGTATGAGAGTGTGTCTGTATGAGAGTGTGTCTGTATGAGAGTGTGTGTGGGTTTGTGTGCGTGTTCAGTTGTCGACGCCCAGTTTAGAAATGCCCTGACGAACTTCATGCAGCTCATCAATCTTCCCATCCAGAACGTCCATGAACTTCTTGAGTTCGGTCTTCATGTTCTTGTGTTTGTGCTGAGAGCCGTCCACCTCTCCCTGCAGGAGCTTCAGCTTCTCACTCAGACCCTGGCTCTTCAGTTCTGCAGCCTGTGAAACGGCAAACAACCATCAACGCATGCAGGAATAAAGGGTTTCTGAAGGCATCAGCAACCAATCAGCTGCTCTATGTAGATAATGATGTGATTGTTAACGAGTTAAGGACCAATCAGTTTGAGGAACGAACGCGTGTGTGTTTGTTCACCTGTAGTTTGGCCGTGAGGTTTTCACACTCTGCCATGAGCTGAGGGATGATTTCGGCCTGTTTGCACAAGTTCTCAAGCTCCTGAAAAACAGCATCATACGTGTTTGTAAGAGCACTCACGACAGGATGATGTGGCACGTGTGTGTGTGTGTGTGTGTGTGTGTGTGTTTGACTCACCTGTTGTTTGTCCTGCAGGTCCGATTCCAGCTCTTGAATTCTGCGAGTCAGCTGAACGTTTCTCTCTTTCTCTAGATTCACCTCTTTACACTGCAGCTCCAGCTCTGAGATCTGCGCACACACACACACACACACACACACACACCCCCCCCCCCGTTACAGCTCTTCAACAACACACTTGAGCTAATAACCCAGTGCTCAATATTTCAGCTCAGTCAGTCACAAATGACGAGCACAATCTCAGGTGTGTGTGTGTGTGTGTGTGTTCCTCAGGCTCTCAGTGTGTGTGTGTGGGTGTGTGTGTGTGTGTGTTCCTCAGGCTCTCAGTGTGTGTGTGTGTGTGTGTGTGTGTTCCTCAGGCTCTCAGTGTGTGTGTGTGGGTGTGTGTGTGTGTTCCTCAGGCTCTCAGTGTGTGTGTGTGTGTGTGTGTGTGTGTTCCTCAGGCTCTCAGATATGTGTGTGTGTGTGTGTGTGTGTGTGTGTTCCTCAGGCTCTCAGGTGTGTGTGTGTGTGTGTGTTCCTCAGGCTCTCAGATGTGTGTGTGTGTGTGTTCCTCAGGCTCTCAGATGTGTGTGTGTGTGTGTGTGTGTGTTCCTCAGGCTCTCAGGTGTGTGTGTGTGTGTGTGTGTTCCTCAGGCTCTCAGATGTGTGTGTGTGTGTGTGTGTGTGTGTGTGTTCCTCAGGCTCTCAAGTGTGTGTGTGTGTGTTCCTCAGGCTCTCAGATGTGTGTGTGTGTGTGTGTGTTTCTCAGGCTCTCAGATGTGTGTGTGTGTGTTCGTTCCTCGGGCTCTCAGGTGTGTGTGTGTGTTCCTCAGGCTCTCAGGTGTGTGTGTGTGTGTGTGTGTGTTCTTTAGGCTCTCAGGTGTGTGTGTGTGTTCCTCAGGCTCTCAGGTGTGTGTGTGTGTGTGTTCCTCAGGCTCTCAGGTGTGTGTGTGTGTGTTCCTCAGGCTCTCAGATGTGTGTGTGTGTGTGTGTGTGTGTGTGTGTTCCTCAGGCTCTCAGGTGTGTGTGTGTGTGTGTGTGTTCCTCAGGCTCTCAGGTGTGTGTGTGTGTTCCTCAGGCTCTCAGGTGTGTGTGTGTGTGTGTGTGTGTTCCTCAGGCTCTCAGGTGTGTGTGTGTGTGTGTGTGTTCCTCGGGCTCTCAGGTGTGTGTGTGTGTTCCTCAGGCTCTCAGGTGTGTGAGTGTGTGTGTCAAGTCAAGTCAAGTCAAATATATTTATATAGCGCTTTTCACAATACAGATTGTATCAAAGCTGCTTCACAGTATCAATCAAAACAACCTAAGAGTGTTTGTTTATTACTGGAAAAGACATCCAAGTTTGTTAGAGCTGATCAGTGGTATGATGGGTCATTTAATTTGAATATCCCCAACTGAGCAAGCCAAAGGCAACAGTGGCAAGGAACCGAAAAACTCCATCAAGTGACCCGATGGAAAAAAAACCTTGGGAGAACCCAGGCTCAGTCGGGGCCAGTTCTCCTCTGGCGTTTATGAAGTAGACGCCGAATTTACAGTAACTGTAAGATTAAAAATTTTATATGAATGCCTGGGTAAATAGATGCGTCTTTAGTCTAGTTTTAAACTGGGAGAACGAGTCTGAGCAACGAACAATATCAGGAAGGCTATTCCAGAGCTTCGGAGCTAAATGTGAGAACGCCCTCCCTCCTTTGGTGGATCTGGATATCTGGATATCCTAGGAATGACTAGAAGCCTCGAATTTAGTGATCTTAAAGAACGCGATGGATTGTAGGGCGATAGAAGATCCGTTAAATAGACTGGAGCTAAACCATTCAGAGCTTTATAAGTCAAAAGCAAGACCTTGTAATTAATACGGAACTTTATAGGTAACCAATGAAGTGATGATAGAATTGGTGTTATATGATCATATTTTCTTAATCTAGTAAGAACTCTAGCGGCTGCATTTTGCACTAACTGTAGCTTGTTTATTGAAGATGCAGGACAACCAGCTAATAAAGCATTACAGTAATCTAGTCTCGAGGTCATGAATGCATGAACTAACTTTTCTGCATCAGAGACTGATAGCATATTACGTAATTTAGCAATGTTTCTAAGGTGGAAAAAGGCTGTTTTTGTAACATATGAAATATGCTTTTCAAAAGACAGGTTGGAGTCTAATGTAACACCCAGGTCTTTTACTGTAGCGGATAAAGTAACAGGGCATCCTAATATGTTAAAGTCCTGCTGTGAAAGGTTTTGTGGACGGTTTTTAGAACCGATAAGTATTACCTCTGTCTTGTCTGGATTTATTCAAAGAAAATTACGCGTCATCCAATCTTTTATATCTTTAACACAATCCGTCAATTTGGATAATTTAGCGTATTCATCTGGCCGTGATGAAATATATATTTGAGTGTCATCGGCATAACAATGGAAACTAATTCCATGTTTCCTTAGAATATTACCGAGTGGCAGCATATATATTGAGAATAATAAAGGGCCTAACACAGATCCCTGCGGCACTCCATAGTTTGCCGAAGTTATGATCGATTTTTCTACATTTAAGTAGACGAAATGGTAGCGGTCAGATAAGTATGACCTGAACCAGCTTAATGCCTGTCCTTGAACACCAGTGTAATTTTGTAGTCGATCTAAGAGTATTGTGTGATCTATAGTATCGAACGCAGCACTAAGATCGAGTAAAACTAGAACTGAGATACAGCCTTGGTCCGAAGCTAAAGTAAATCATTTGTGATTCTAACAAGCGCAGTTTCAGTGCTATGATGCGGCCTGAATCCAGACTGAAACTTTTCATAGATGTCGTTTTCTTGCAAGAAAGAGCCGAGTTGAGCGCACACAACTTTTTCTAATATTTTTTACATGATTGGAAGATTTGAGATGGGTCTGTAATTTGCTAAGTTATTTGGATCTAATTGTGGTTTCTTAATAAGAGGTTTTATAACTGCCAGCTTGAACATTCTTGGAACATGACCTAAAGATAAAGATGAGTTAATAATATTGATAAGAGGCTCTTCCACTACAGGTAACACTTCTTTCAGTAGTTTAGTTGGTATAGGATCTAATAAACATGTTGTTGTTTTAGATGAAGTGACAAGTTTATTTAACTCTTTTTGTTCTATGGTTGTAAAGCATTGTAATTGTTCTCGCGGGGTGATAATTGCGGCTGAATTATAAGGCGCGAGCAAAGATTGAGCGTTTATGATTGTGATTCTGATGCTTTCAATTTTCTCGGTGAAGAAGTTCATGAAATCATTACTACTAAACTGTAAAGAGGTATTTTGTTCAGGCGACGTCTGTTTATTTGTTAGTCTAGCCACGGTATTAAATAAAAACCTTGGAATATTTCGGTTGTTTTCTATTAGTTTGCGGAGATGCTCAGCCCTGGCCGTTTTAAGGGCTTTTTATAACGTGACATACTGTCTTTCCACGCGATTCTAAATGAGTTTTTTTCCATTTACGCTCTAGATTACGGGTTTCTCTCTTTAAAACATACGTAGTATTATTGTACTATGGTGCTATACTTTTTTCTCTGACCTTTTTTAATCTAATGGGTGCAACAATATCCAATGTTCTAGAGAGAATGGAGCTCATAGTGCTAGTTAGTTCGTCTAGTTCATCTGTTTGTTTGGGTTCAGGCAGCAGCTGAGTCAGATCAGGTAAGCTATTTGAGAAATGATCTATGGTGGATGGAAGAATTGTTCTACCTGGTCGATTACGTGGCGCAGCATGACATATTACGGAAGTGCGTAATATGCAAGTTACCATGTAATGGTCAGTGACATCATCACTTTGTGGAATGATATCTATATCGGTTGGATCGGTTCCGTATGATATAATTAAATCGAGTGTATGATTAAGACGATGAGTTGGTCTGGTGACGTTTTGCTTGACCCCGAAGGAGTTTAATAAATCTGTGAACGCAGCCCCTAACGCATCATTTGTTTTATCTATGTGTATGTTAAAATCTCCAACAATTAAT